GCATACGAATACCCTATATCCTATTATGCCCATGGGGCCGCTGCCATTCTTAACAGTGCTTATGTTACTGGTTTACTGCAGCTATAGCTCTGCAATAAAAGTTGTTGTTGTTCAGTCGCACAGTCGAGTCCGACTCTTTGCGACCTCATGGACCAGCTCCCGCCAGGTACCTGAATGCATGTACTTCGTTGTTGGCTGTGGGTTCTGACAACCTAAGAGTGCTAGCTATGATGCCAGGAGGGCAGGGGTGCTGGCAGCCCTGTATGGGGCTTTCAGCACAGACTCTTGCCAGGGCAGCTCCCCAAGTGGGGAATGGGGCACAGCTGGAGTTAGGGGGAGTGACAGGTCGCTGCCCCACTGTGTCTGTGGATCTGCTGGCCAAGCAATCATGGCACCTATGGCCTTGAAGTCCTAGGCAGCAGCAAAAGCAGATGAAGTGGATACAGTTGAGGTACAGCCCACACAGAGGATAAGAACATAAGAGACACCAATGTTGGATCAGACCAAAGGCCCATCTAGTCCAACACTCTGTCACACAGTGGCCAGAAATACCAGGTGCCATCAGGAGGTCCACCAGTGGGGCCAGGACATTAGAAGCCCTCCCACTGTTGACCCCCCCCCAAGCACCAAGAAGACAGAGCATCCCTTGCCCCAGAGCCCCTATCTATACCTTGTGGCTAATAGCCACTGATGGACCTCTGCTCCATATGCCTATCTAATTCCCTCTTGAAGGATGGCGATGGCATGCAGCTTGGGAGGTGTCCTGACAAATGGAGCCCCCCCCCATTGGCCCTACTGGGATCCCACTATCATGGCTGCAGTGGTAAGGGCAACTGCACTGTTTGTCATCATTGATGATGAGGCATTTCAGACAGGTGATATATTCCGGTTCAGGAACGGTTCCCAAACGGTTTCTGGTCTGACATTTCAGACAGAACTGTTTTAGAACCGGTTCCCTCCCGGAATATATTTGTACTTTCACACACAAACGCTTCTGTCCCGTTCAGGAAACGGGGCTGACCCGTTTTACCTGTAAAGCACTTCCAAGTAGTCTTCAGTTTCTTCTCCTGGATCCGAAACACTTTTTTCTGCTGTTTTTCGCCCGTGTGGGTGATCTCTGGCTTTTTTGTTTTTTAAACATTCGCTTTGGAATGCCTGCCGTGTTGTGTTATAGCGCTATAGCGCTCTAAAGCAAACATTTTTTAAAAAAACACTGGAGATCGCCCACATGGGCGAAAAATGGCAGGAAAAAATGGGAAAAAGCAGTGCAGTCTGAAATGGCAAACTGCTTCAGATCCAGCTCTTTACCGGTAGGGGAAAGCCATGTGTGAAATGGCAGCCCTATACCGGTTTACTCCACGATGGATCAAAACCGGCTTCAAACCGGCTTAAAAAGGGTAATGTGAAATTCCTTGTTGTTTCTGCTCGGCATCTGTGCAGGCAGCAGGGCTTTTTTTTCTGAGGGAATGCTGTGGGACGGCGTTCTGGAACCTCTTCGTGGAAATTAAATTCTCAAAAAAACGTTTCAGAGTTCATGAGGGGCCCCGAGGGAGCATGATGTCACTTGTGACATCACAAAAATATTACAATTTTTAAAATAAGATTTAAACTAGGGTTTCAAAGAATCCCATGTGTTTCTCTTTCATTTCCCTCTTGATAGTTCTGGCACCTCAAGAAGAGGAGGAGGAGGAGGAGGAGGAGGAGGAGGAGGAGGAGAGGTAGAAAGAAGAGTGAGAATA